TCTCTACGCAAAATCAAGAGGTATTCCCGCCATTAGTCGATATGGACGGTGACCTCTAGCACTGTCATCCGCACACAAAAACATACTTGTACACTCTCATAGACTCTCTTTCGGATTGTGTTGGGAACTTGGCACGATGGCTTGAATTCAATTTTGTATAGTTATCTTCTTTCCCCCGTATACTTTTTGGGAACTTTATTTTTGAAGATATTACGCGTTTCTTTATTTTTCAATATATTAAATGCAATTTTTTAAATAAAATACTTTATGTAATTAATTCAATAAGCAACTTTTTACATCGCGGTTAGTAAAAATCATGGAATGCGAAAAAATTTGGGTGGTGTAAAATATTAATTTTCAAACACTCTCAAAAGTCTCGGAAAATATCGGAGATTTTGCAGCGCGTGTGTTTGCATCTTGTCAATTATTCATTCCGTGTACACGACAGGTTTCCGAATATAATCGAATATTCCGAGAGGTTCCGATTTTTAAACTCTCGAAACTACGAATTTTAAAACTGTTTCAGGGATTTCAAACAACAATGTGAATTATTCAAAAACGTTCCTTGACGTGAGCCCGCGCGCGCACGCACACGAAGCAATTCTGATCTGATATTGTTCCCATCACTACTCACACGATACCACGATCGCTCGCGATGTAAAACGAAGGAACGTAAAATTTACGAGGACACGAGACTTCCACTAAATAAATGTACGTGCTATAATAAACTTTATACGGAAAAGTGACACTATATTAAATTTAAAGCCAATATTGTTGGTTTACGTACAAAATTATCGAGCTTTCTACCTTTCTATTGTTCCGTCAGTTCTATCTTTGCAACTTTCAAAAATATTCACATTCACGTTATAATCCAGTTGGATGAATTCAATAATAAAATAACAAATTTAATAAAATGTGGAAATATAGGAAATACATATTTTTCTATAAACATTTATTACACAGATATTCATTACATGTTTTTAATCAAATCAAGACAAATATTATATTTTATACATATATATATTATTTGCATAATGAAATGAAATGATACATACGATAATCTGTATAAGTAACAATACATTAAAAAATTTACAACTTTGGACGATCGTCTTTATCGATTATCAATTTGAACCAACGATTCCTAATTTAAAATTAAACGTTGCGAAGTATAATGAAGTATATTATCGATTAAGGTTACAATGACAAAGTATAGGAACGTACTAAAAGTCTCGAATGTCGATTCGATCGTTTTACGTCGCGGACGTCACACCGCATTCAACATAAAATCGCACGAAAGTACTGGCTACTCCTCTCGTCACTGCAACTCTATCCTATCGCCACTCTACACTTACTACTTTATACATTATCTCAGATTACTCTATATGACTCTGGTCTCTACTTTGTATTAGATGATAGAACTGGTAGATGACCGCCGTCTTTTTTTTATTCTCCGCTTTCAAATATATCTTTGAACTCTCAAACGTTTATAATAAATTTACGAACGAGTCGATTATTTTTGCTTGGCGATAATTCATTAATCAATATCGATGATTCGCTTTGTTCGCGATTGCCGAAGACATTTTATGCATACTTTTATTTATGGATAATGGAGCGCTTGTGTAAAATTTCTGGACGATAAATCATTGATATTGGAATCGCTCAAATGAGTAGAAATTATCGGCGATGCATCCGACAATGAAATGGAATCGTTTATACCGTTTAAAGAGCAGAGTTCATAAATTCTGTCCTTTGATTTCGCACTCGAGAGTGATATGCTTGTTTCGATAACGCGGCTCGTTTTCTCCCTTGCTTTGCATCGGTGCGATCCGATTCACCAAAAAACGCGATACATTTCAACGTAATAATGATCGAGCGATTGATCTCAAATTAATTTCACGGATGAAATATTCTCTATTTGCATCGATTAAAGATCCGTGATATCCCATATAACAACTATTTTGCATCACTAGCATAGGTATCAATAAATTCTCGTCTGTTATCCATATCCCAAAAATTCAGAATGTTTCAAATTTCATTACTTTCTTTATAAAGAAATTACTGTTTAAATATTGTGAAAGTTACTCTCATCTGCTATTAAAGCATAAGATCTTAATACGAATTGCAAAAATCGTTACTGAGATTTTTTTTCATAGTGCTGACAGAGTTGAACTTTAAATAAAAAAATTGTTTTTTAAATGAGCAATAATTTTGCTAGCTCTTTAAAACTCAAAATAATTACAATCAATTGATATTTGCGATAAATACATTTATTGACAAATGATTAATATTGAAAGAGTCATTTTTAAATAAGGATAAAAAATACATAAATAATGACGCTTGAAAAAAAAATATATACATAAATAGAGATTTAAAAGAAATCAATCTTTCCATTTAATGTTCCATTAATATACACGGGACAACACAGACATCTTTACAACAGAACACTGTACATGAGTGTTACATTAACGATTCAAGAATGCGTAGTAGCATAATGACGATTTTTAGTTATTGTCTCTGTTTAACGTATGCGATTTTTCAATGTTACTATCTCTGTTTGTCTATCTATCTGTCTGTCTGTATGTATGTCTGTCTGTCTGTCTGTCTGTCTGTCTGTCTGATCCCTATTCATCTGATACTCTAGCTAACTGATCTGATCTCGATTCTCGCTCGATTTCTTACTTATCTCAAGCAAGAACTACCTATCTTACAAATCTTAGAATTTAGAGAAAATACGCGCGGTATATATTCTTTCAATCTCTTTCCGAAAGAAACGAGAATGATGTGTTTCTTCCGTTTCGCATACATTAGGTTGGAATGAATGGAACGAATAGTATATCTGCGCATCTATATCTCTCCGTATATGTTTGTGCAAGATACATAAATCATAGCTAGGATTGCGGAACGAGATGCCTTGTGATATACCGTATATATAGCGAATCTTGCGATTTCTGCGTGACAACACGCAACAAAACTCATGCATGCATGGTTCGCAAGAAATTCGCGACGTTATTCAGTCACGCGGAATCCCGATTATAAAATATTTGTATGCGTGTGTGTGTGTGTATGTGGGTGCGCGAATGTGTCAATCATATTTCTTTCAGGAGGATATACACATGTGCAAAGGCACGAAACTTATCTCGAATATCGAAATGCCTCTCCGCGCAAATAAACTTCAATTAATTGCGTCTATTACGCAAATAATGGAACAGATAACGCATAATATTGATTTGACCGTTTACGGAAACGATCCGATGTATTTATCGTTTGTTTTTTAAGAGTGACACAATTGATCCTTTTTCACACGCGCGAGATATAAAATATCCTCAGACTTGAAAATTTAATAAATTAATCGGAGCATACATATATTTTGCTTTTATTATACCCACATGTCAAATTTATATGCAGTTAAATTGAAACTCTCGCGTTTTTATATATAATTCTCGCGAAGGAGATATATAATATTTAGATTATTAAATAATATAAGATATTTTTTATTCTCCCTTATTGGAGGAAATAATAAAAATAGAAATAATAATGACGGTGAATAAAAAGTAGTCTGCGTGAGTAGATATGCTAAAGAGATAGCGTAATTAACAGAAGATTAATATGCGTTACAGTTTCAGAATATTCAAATTTTCATCTACAAAAATGTCGCAAGTAAGATTTGCAGTCATTACTTTTGCAATTTCGCTGATGGTACTTTTCTGCGTAAGAATTTAAAGGTTTTCTGACAATAATAATGACATTAATAAGATGAATATAATGATTTTTGGTTGTATCGCGTTCGAAAAGAAGGTGCGATGTTGACAGTAAAATATTGACTCCTGCATTGATCTATTTCCTTTTACTCGCGATGATAAACGATTTTACCCGTTAGTACCTTCATAAATCCGACACGCGTTATTGGAGCAGATTGTTTCCGACCGGATAAATCAGTCTTTAAAGTACGTACTCGGTTCCTATGAGGATACCCGTATATCACGCGGTTCACTTAATACTCGTAGATACACGAGACGGCGATTATTTATAGAGCGCGACAAATCCGTACTTATCGGTTTCTTCTTTTTCGCGGCGAAGGGACAGCAGAAAAATAGGATTTGTCACGGAATGAGATGTCTATATCGTAGGTAGGAAAAATATCTACGAGAACATTTTGTATCGCGTATTACACGTTTGAAGATCCCCTTATCGCATTTGAACTTTATCATTTTACATGTAGCGCCGATAATTCTTCTAGATCAGTGCATACGATTAAATCTTATAAAGTAACGTGTGACGTAAATTGGCATATAAAAAAATACATTGCATTGATATTTGAGCGATACACAATGTTTCACATTTTTTTTTTTATCGGGTTTCTTCGAGATATCATATATAAAATATTGCAATTTTCTTTCATAAATCTTACGAGAAAATGTGTATATTATTCTATATGTGTCACTCCATAAAACATATATTAAACGAAGTGACGCGACGTCAAGTATTCCAATATTGTGAAAGCTTACGTACATATATGCAATATTCTTGAAGCTGTTTTATTTTTGCGAAGGATTTTCCGAGCACTGGTGTTTACCTAAACTGCAGTTTGTGCATTCAAATGATTTTCTTTAACCCGACATATGCGACGGAATTAATGTTTTTATTGCTCTTATGACCACCAGAGTTAGGACTTTAACTGGCAGTCGTAACATTCTGCTTCGTATCACTTAACGGCTGTCTTTATACATGGTTTATGAGACGTACGTTTTATTTTCTATATATCAACCTCATATACGAACGCGATAACGATTTTATATTGTTATTCTTACAATATTATAGGAACAACGAATCGCACAAGTACTTGCGCGTGATATATTTTTCTAATTTTTCTATTTTATATTCATAAAATTCTATCTTGATATGTAGAGAAGCTGATCTTCTTATTCTAAGGCTTCAGAAGATTCGCGCTCCATTTCTCCTTTTGTCCTTGACTGGCGGTCTGTTTCTCTTTCTGCTCGCAGAACGAAGAGCAATCAACGGTGGATGAAACTACGAACGACGGTGCAGCTGTCCTCGGCGATCTCGACGATCCAGAAGAAACCGCCTCTAAAGCGCGAAGACTCGTTTCTAAAGCGATTCTCCACCAGACAGATACCGGAGAGTCAGGAGACTCTCGATACCGCCGAGGGTGAGGGAGACGCGACCGACAAGGAGGCGGGTAGCCGGCGCCGCAGGCGACCCCGTAGACCTCAGAAACCGCCCAAGACTGTGGTCAATCCCGACGAAAACTTTTACTATTATTGGCTGATGCTATTGTCGACCTGCGTCCTTTACAACCTCTGGACGCTGATCGTCCGTCAGAGTCTGCCGGAGTTGCAGGCGTTGGCGCCTGCCGCCTGGCTCGCCAGCGACGGTTTCACCGACGTGGTGTTCTTCCTGGACGTGGCGGTGCAATTTCGCACCGGCTACCTCGAGCAGGGTTTGATGGTCTACAATAGCAGAAAACTGGCCGGTCATTATATCAAGTCCAAGTCCTTCATCCTCGATCTGCTGGCGCTGATCCCGCTCGATTTGCTGCAGGTGAATCTCGGCAGCAATCCGATGCTGAGGTTCCCCAGGTTCCTGAAGATCTATCGAGTGTACAATTACTACTACATGGTGGAGTCGCGCACTGTCTATCCGAATCTCTGGCGCGTGCTGAATCTCATTCACATACTGCTCATCCTGGCACATTGGTTCGGCTGCTTTTACTACCTACTAAGCGAGGCCGAGAGCTTCCAGGGCGATTGGGTGTATCCTTACCGACCCGGCGAGTACGCAACCCTGACCAGGAAGTACCTCGGCTCTCTCTACTGGTCCACCCTGACGCTGACCACCATCGGTGACCTGCCCACGCCGGAGACCAACGCCGAGTGAGTGACATAATCTCTAAACGAAATTGTACACACCATTCGCGCTCCCCGCTCCTTTCGTTTTTCTTTTATTGCATCGCGTATCTCGCGTCGTCCGTCTCGACGAGACCTAAGAGAGAATGGAACGTCGGCATGTTTTTTTTGCGCGCATCTTCCGAGCCTTTGCTCGCCTTTCAGATCGAGAAGATTGGCGAGAAAAGATATTAAATTCCATTTATAAAATGAAACAAGAAAATATAATAATTTACAATACGTTTGGAATCATTTTTCAAAAGATTTGAGAGAATAAATCAAAATTTGAATTCTCGTTTATTACAATTGATTTTCCAAATTTTTTCAAGCGTAGATAACCGAAAGGGTTGTACATTCTTTCGTTGTCACGTATCAAGATTTCCAAGATATTCCGATCGATCGAAAAATCACGTATCGGGACGTTAGCATGAGACTCGAGGCTTGCATTACATCGAACATTTACGGCGCCTTAAAAGTCAATAGCTCCTTCGGGCTATGATATGGATCAACAGGTAGTGCATAATCTTATTTACTTTGTAACATTCATCTTTGGATTCGTGCATCTCGCAATTTATCACGTGAGCTATCCGCGCGTTTATAAGTTCGCATATATAAGAGCGTTACTAGAAACATTTCACGAGTAAATCTTACATGTTAAGATGAGGAAGAAAATTCGAAAAGAATATTCGAAGAAAAACACTCGAAAATGAACGATCATTGAATATATAATTAATATATATAATTGTGAAAGTGATACATAATTAAAAGATTACATTTGATGATAAAGATATACGTGAATTAAGAATGCCGTGATGTTGCTTCGTATACTAAAATGATAAAAATTATTGATGTTCATATTTAATTTTAGAGATTTTACGCAATATTCGCGTGAATTTTCTCTGTATAAGCGAACAGCAGATTATATTTGCATATTATATTTGCGTATTATATTTGCTCCGATTTCAATGAACGTCATAAATCGATGCTGCCGCAAACATTTTGATATTGACGAGGAATTAGCCGCGACAGAACATTGTTAGTTTGATAATTATGTTAGCTTCCCGTTTCCGGTTACCGTAGGTTCGCTTGTATATTCG